ACCCCAAAACCTTAAACCATCCTAAACGGTAAACCGTACATGTGCTTGTTGGAGGGCAGAGGAGCCGATATCTTCCCGATCAGGCCGAGCTTGAAGCATGACAAACCATGCATGAGGGCTCCTGCGTAGTCGGCGGCGATTATTTTGTGCCGGGCAGCTTGTTCGGAGGCAATACGGTCAAAGACGATGCTTGGCGCGAAATCAAGGCACCCAAACCCCCAAACCCTAAACCCTAAGCCCTAAGGCCCTAATCCTCAGCCCTGAGCCCGAAAACCCTAAGATTCCCACGAGATCCAGGCCCAGCAACCAAGCTGCGTCAGGTCTCTCCAGTTTTCCCTAAGGGTCCAAGTGCCCAAATAGTAGGGTTTCAGGGTCCAAAAACCATTCAGAGTATGGATTTGGGGACCTAAAACCTTACTATTTGGATACTCGGACCCTCTGGATTTTGCAAGTTGTGAGACAGTGTACTACAAAGCAGTATCGTGCAGAAAAGGTAGAAATCAGTATAGTATACTATAATACAATATCGCATAGACAGTCTATAGTTGTTGCCCAAAAGTTGGAAACCCACCTTGAGAGTAATGTATAAGGGATCCCAGCAATCCGGTTTCCAACTATTTGGGGTTTACTATAGTGTAGTATAGTAGAGTGAGCAAGCCACATCAGGTACTTCAAGCTTCAGCTGCCTGATGACAAGGCGTGGCCAATAAAGTCCCAGCCGTGAAGATTGGGCCTTCAATGTAGGTCGTGGCTGAGGTCACTGAAAGGATCATGGGACTTAGTAACTATACGGCTATAAAGCTATAAAGATGGTAGCTATGGTTACAATGGCATGTAATCCTACTTAAGGTACCTTTATCCATACTTTCTAGTCCCATGATCCTCCAAGCATCAGTTGCGGCGTCTTTCTCGGGTTCTTCGGGCAGAACTTCTAGCGCGAACCCTAAACCTAAACCCCAGTAAACCCTGACAGAACGAAGTCCAAGCGTGCAATACGCCCTGTTGCCTGAGGGATTTGCGATCAGCTACACAGGCAAGGGGAAAACACTAAACCCCTGAACCCTAAACCCTAAACCCTAAGCCCCTCAAATACACTGTGAATGGATCATGAGGCCTGATCAGTAAACCTTGAGACGTCCGGCGGATCTTGGCATCCCTGCAGCGGCCTGTTGGGGTTGCACAGGGTTTGGTAGTAGAGGGGCCTTAATAAGCCTAAACCCTAAACCCTAAACCGTGGGGTTTGGGGGTATTATACTATACTTATCATAAGGAACCCCGAGAACCCTATCCTGACTATATACGGCCCCTACATGATGGTCAGTATGGTCGCGTCGAATAAGGGGGTTGTATCTGGGCAGTAATTTGAAATGGTCATTCTTACGGTTGATGATACAGATCCTGCATTACCCATAAGAAGGAATATACTATAATTCCCATGGTTTAGGGTCCTAGTGTCATGCAGGATCTTATATTATCAACAGTATGGGGTTGCAAAATTCACCTCAGTCCGACCTCAGTCCCATAGCCTAGTCCTTTCAGGTTCCCAGAGTAGGAACCCTGAAACCCAAAAGCCGAACGTAGCAGCCAGGATAATTGTCAAGACCATGTCTCATTATCACCATACATTTACCCTAAACCCTAAATCCTAAATCCTCAACCCTAAACCCTAAACCCAACCCTGAATCCTAAACCCTAAACCCTCAACAGCCGCCCTATTCCGATCCTTAACCCTTAGCATCAAAATAGCCCAAAAGCCTCATATAATAGGGTCTTTGGGCACAAAAGCCTTAGAATATGAGTTCCTTGAGGGTAATAAACCCTAAACCCTAAACCCTAAACCCTAAACCCTAAACCCTAAACCCCTAAACCCTAAACCCTAAACCCTAAACCCTAAACCCTAGGCTCCTGGAATCCCAAATCTCCAAATCCGAGAGGTGGCCGCGCATGTGCCGCAGTTCCTCGCTCTTCTTGGGGAGGTCGAGACGGGCCTGCATTCTACAGATCTAAGGGTTTAGGATTTTAGGAGTTTAGGGTTTTAGGATTTTACGAGTTTAGGAGTTTAGGGGTTAGGGGTTTAGGGTTTAGGGTTTTGTAAAGGCTCTATCGGAGGGGTTGTTGGGCTTTTGTATGGGGATTCTAGCAGTTTGGGGCTCAGTGTTTATGTTTTCTTCCGCAAGAGCTTTGGTTTGAATTTTAGTTGGGCGCAAAGTTTAAGCTCAGAAGATCTGGCATCTGTGTTCCTCAAGCCCAAACCCGAGCATTCTGCGTCTATGACACGAAGCCAGTGCCGATCCAGATGGGCCAGATCAGCACGTGGACGATCCGCAGTGGTCTTTTGCCAAGGACAGTGTTTCTGTCCCTTGCTGTCTTGGCAGGGCAATAAAGGGTTCTTCATGTCCGTGGGGCCGGCTGATTCTTGCACGGGCCTTTCGAGCTCGGCTTAAGGTCGCCGGGCACCTCCAGGAAACGCGGCTCTAAGCGTTTGCCTCTGTGCTGCACGCAGAGTGATAGCAGCGACAGCGACTGGAGCTAGAAATAAGCGACGAGGAGGATCGGTACAATGCGCACCTCTTGTTCTCGCAGAGACCACCAGCCACGCTGCCGTCGCAGCCACTTAAGCTGCGCAGCGGTGCTTCACTTACCCGGAGTGATTGCAACATATGCTGAAGCGCCAGGCGTGGGGACCGATTGCTTTATATTTTTATACTCACTTTGTCCAGAGAAGCTGTTCAAGACCCTTTCTTGGGTTCAGGGCTTTGAGTTTGGGGTTTCCGGGGCACCCATTCCCCCAACCGCTGCTTGCCAAACCCTGAAACCCCATAGCCTGGATCCTTGCAAGCCCAATCAAGACTTCACATCCCCAGAATGGAACCCAAAACCCTAAACCCTAAACCCCGGAACGCCAATTAAACGTTAGGTCCAGAGCCGTTGCCTGAACGCTAGAAGCCCAGGGCCCAACAACCCTAGATCTGGGTTTTCACAGTTTGCTTCCGGATTCTACCGGCGTTTTAAAAGGGTTTTCGGGTCGGGTGCAGAGTTAAAGTTGACCCCCGGCATATTACACGGCCCTCCCGTAATGGGGAAGGATCATATTGAGGTATCCTGCAGATTCAACAACCCTGACAGCAAGGGGGATGCAGTAGTCAGGGTCCCTAAACCCTAAACCCTAAACCCTAAACCCTAAACCCTAAACCCCCTAAGCCCCAAAGTCCCACAACCCCCCATCAAATCCGGCCTCATTGAAGCCTCACAAGACCCCGACAGCGCGCTGGGGGTCTAGGGTTTAGGGTTTAGGGTTTAGGGTTTAGGGTTTAGGGTTTAGGGTTTAGGGTTTAGGGTTTAGGGTTACCAAGAGCCTGGTAAAGTTCTACAGGCCTCTGCCTACGAAGAAAGCCTGGAGGATCGGCTTTACAGAAGCTCTGTGTAAACATCTAGAAGCCCCTGTGGAAAAGAAGAGTCCCTAGGTAAATGTAAGAACCAGACACACAGATACAAAAACACATACACTCACACGTGCACACACCCTCACACACATACGGAAGCTCGCTGAAGAGCCCAGTACAACACTATCAACACCCTACAGCGAGTTCATATAAGCATACAGAAGTCAGTTCGAAGTCTTATCAACGAAACCCAAAGTCTAAATCCTACAGCCTAGATCGTAGTAAATCGGAGAAACCCTTTGAACACAACCCTAAACCCTAAACCCTATGAACACAACCCTAAACCCTAAACCCTAAACCCTAAACCCTTTGAACACAACCCCAAACCCTAAACCCTAAACCCTATGAACACAACCCTAAATCCTAAAGCCTAAAGCCCCGAAAGCCCATGGCAGCTCGAAAAGGCGGACGCAGCGACCGAGGGGCTTAGCTCAGCGAGGCCATGGGGATTCGGGAGCTTCTTCGTTTCTTGTGACCCCGATGGTTTAGGGTTTAGGGTTTAGGGTTTAGGGGTTTAGGGTTTTAGGGTTTTAGGGTTTAGGGTTTAGGGTTTAGGTTTCTATGGGTATGGGTGTTTCATAGAGTTTTCGCGGATCTTTTGTTTATTTTTCTGGTATGGTTTTGCTCGGATTTTGGAAGGGTTTTTGTAGAGTTGGTAGACTTGCAGGGAGGGGGTCCGCAAGGGCTCCGTGAAGCTGTCCGTGAAGAGGCGGTCTTCGGGTTTAGGGTTTAGGGATCCTTTACCCTAAACCCTAAACCCTTTCAGCGAAGGTTTCTCCAAGGGCACCGGTGTGGGTTCGTTGAAGGGGGCTGGCCTGATTCCTCTGAGGCCTACAAGACAAGGGTTTGTGACATTTAGATTTTGGGGGCATGGTCTACGGCTCAGGGTTTATAGGGTTTAAGAATGAGGGTTTTGAGTTCCCTAAACCCTCTAAACCCTAAACCCTAAACCCTAAACCCCTAAACCCTAAACCCTAAGGGTTTAGGGTCTGAGGTTGCAGGTTTAGGATTTGGGTCCAGGGTTTTGGAGTTTTCAGCAGCCGGCTCTGCCAACCAAATGTGTTTCCGGTATGTCTGCCATAGGGTCCGAGTACCCAAATAGTACGGGTTAAGGTCCCAAAATCCATACTCTGAGTGGTTTTTGGACCCTGAAACCCTACTATTTGGGCACTTGGACCCTGAGGGTCTGCCACTATACCTCAACATAAGCTTCAAAGCCCTCAGCCCTAAACGAATCAAGTAGCCTGAACGCTTACAATTGCCAGAATACTAGAATGACAATTACCTACACTATTTAGGGGGTTCTTTGTTATAATGGTAATATCATATACCCCAAAATCCGACTTTGATTATTAAGGCCCCTACATTAAACATTAACTTACAGTAATCCTCGAACCCCAGACCCCAGCCGAAACAGGCGTCCCGGCTGTCTTGCCATGGCATCGTGCCTGCCATGTCCTCAGTGCCTAGGGTTTTGGGTTTTGGGTTTTGGTACTTAGAGGATCATGGGACTTAGTAAGTAGGGTTATAATTAGGGCCACTATACTTATAACCCCAATTGAGGGACTTATAACCTTGTTTACCAAGTCCCATGATCCTCCAAGTAGGGCCAACAAAGACGGCTTGTGGCTTTCAACCCCCCACCCCTTAATTCTAAACGCTCAAGCCCCTAGAGTACAGATCAGCTTTCCCCTAGTTTATTCAAGGGGTTCCCTACCCGTGCTGCCTCGAGCAGCGTGCTGTCAAAACTTGTGCGTGCTACCTCAACCTTCCCTGCTGTTCCGAGGCCGCCGTCGACTGTGTCTTGAGTTTCTGACAATCGCTCGCTCCTTTGCAGGTTTTCTTTGGTTTCAGCCGGGATCTTTAGAACTTTTCCGCTCATGTCGATGCCTGCTCCGCCGAGCGATGGCTTGACCTTTTTGAATTTGTATTCTGGGAAGGGTCGCCTGAGCTCTGCTGCTGCCAAGACCTGGATTGGAATAACTTTTGTGAACATTCAATACATCCTCGGTTCCTATTCTTTCATGATTGTACATGGTGGCAGGCTGGCCTGGTGGTGGCAAAAGCTCGATGCAGGAAATCCTCACACCCGATGGGCAATTTCTGTGTCTTCTGGCTTGGCATAGTTTCCGGGTAGTGAACAGTATCGGCGTATCGTTTGTCTGTGCTAGCAGCCAGTCTGGGCACCTGCGAATTGTCGCATCTGAGGCATCCAGTTGGCATCGCGATTGAAGCCAGGAGCACTTTGCTGGTCCGTCTGCACATGTTCTTCCTGGGTTGCTTGCGACAGAAGATCGAAGCTTTGCTTGTCCAACGGGACGAAGCAAGGAAGAAGAGTAAGAAGGGCAAGCAAGCAGAGGATGACAATGAAGAGATGTGCGAGGAGGGTTGTTACTAAATGCTGCCTGTGATGCATGGAAGGGGTGTGTGAGAGAGTGAGCGGAACAGAATGCTTGTGTCTGTGTATGTGATTTTTGTTGCTTCTCTCTGAACGGTTTGCAAGACAGATGTAGGATGATGAGAACTACGATGAAGATGATCGTGAGATCAACCCTGCTTGTGCTGCTGCTCAGCAGCTCTTGGCAGCGATGGACGAGGAGGATGAAGCGAATGATGCCCCTGTCACTCGGAACCAAGTATGTCACAGATCATGTTTGAACATGTTTTCCTGTGTTTTCT